GCAGCTCTGTCCTGATGATCCTCTGGGGTTAGGGGTCCTTCTCCAGCACCTCGGGGGGTCCAGGTGGATGCAAACTCTGTCCTGATGATCCTCTGGGGTTAGGGGGTCCTTCTCCAGCACCTCGGGGGTCCAGGTGGATGCAACTCTGTCCTGATGATCCTCTGGGGTTAGGGGTCCTTCTCCAGCACCTCGGGGGGTCCAGGTGGATGCAGCTCTGTCCTGATGATCCTCTGGGGTTAGGGGTCCTTCTCCAGCAGATCCATTTCTCCAGAATTGTCCTAATTACAGAGAAACAAGAGAAAGTGAATGAATCATATTAAACAAAGGGTTGCTTTAGTATTATTGCAAAATGTAACTCTCAGCATTTCAGACAAACAATCCCTAAAGGATCATTAAAATGATGTCCTGGTTTCTAAAAACTAAAGAGATGAAGTGACGGTCACACGGCACACACTAACATCAAGCTAAAGGTCTATTTGTGATGGTCTTATTATTATGGGATCAGGATACATTAAATACACTGTAACCTAAATAAAAGATGATCACATCTGGTGGAAGTATTGAAAGTAGGCTTTTCTTGTAGCCCTGCCTCAAAGCAGAGCTGAACACAAAGGTTATAATGTTGTCCCAAAGTTTAATAAACAGTAAAACATTGGAACATGTCAGAGAAATAAATAAAGCTAACAGCAGCTTCACGTCAGGGTAGCGCTTTATCCCACCGTACTGTCGGCTCTACCGGTCTAAATGTTTCCACTTTGGTCTGTGTGTGTAACATAAAGTATAACTTATCTATAACAGAGATCTCTGTATGACTTTAATACTTTAATGTATTATCTCTTTAATTTCCACACGGCATCTATTGCACGTCTGTCCGTCCTGGGAGAGGGATCCCTCCTCTGTTGCTCTCCCTGAGCTTTCTCCCATGTTCCCTTTAAACTGTGGGGTTTCTCTGGAAGTGTTTCCTTGAACGATGTGAGGGTCTAAGGACAGAGGGTCTAAGGACAGAGGGTCTAAGGACAGAGGGTCTGAGGACAGAGGGTCTAAGGACAGAGGGTCTGAGGACAGAGGGTCTGAGGACAGAGGGTCTGAGGACAGAGGGTCTAAGGACAGAGGGTCTAAGGACAGAGGGTCTAAGGACTGAGGGTCTGAGGACAGAGGGTCTGAGGACAGAGGGTCTGAGGACAGAGGGTCTAAGGATAGAGGGTATAAGGACAGAGGGTCTGAGGACAGAGGGTCTGAGGACAGAGGGTCTGAGGACAGAGGGTCTGATGACAGAGGGTCTAAGGACAGAGGGTCTGAGGACAGAGGGTCTGAGGACAGAGGGTCTAAGGACAGAGGGTCTAAGGACAGAGGGTCTGAGGACAGAGGGTCTGAGGACAGAGGGTCTGAGGACAGAGGGTCTAAGGACAGAGGGTCAAAGGACAGAGGGTCTATGGACAGAGGGTCTGAGGACAGAGGGTCTGAGGACAGAGGGTCTAAGCACAGAGGGGTCTAAGGACAGAGGGTCTAAGGACAGAGGGTCTGAGGACAGAGGGTCTAAGGACAGAGGGTCTAAGGACAGAGGGTCGTGAGGACAGAGGGTCTAAGGATAGAGGGTATAAGGACAGAGGGTCTGAGGACAGAGGGTCTGAGGACAGAGGGTCTGAGGACAGAGGGTCTGATTGAACCAGAGGGTCTAAGGACAGAGGGTCTAAGGACAGAGGGTCTGAGGACAGAGGGTCTGAGGACAGAGGGTCTAAGGACAGAGGGGTCTAAGGACAGAGGGTCTGAGGACAGAGGGTCTAAGGACAGAGGGTCTAAGGACAGAGGGTCTAAGGACAGAGGGTCTAAGGACAGAGGGTCTATGGACAGAGGGTCTGAGTACAGAGGGTCTGAGGACAGAGGGTCTAAGGACAGAGGGTCTAAGGACAGAGGGTCTATGGACAGAGGGTCTGAGGACAGAGGGTTTGAGGACAGAGGGTCTAAGGACAGAGGGTCTGAGGACAGAGGGTTTGAGGACAGAGGGTCTAAGCACAGAGGGTCTAAGGACAGAGGGTCTAAGGACAGAGGGTCTGAGGACAGAGGGTCTAAGGACAGAGGGTCTAAGGACAGAGGGTCTGAGGACAGAGGGTCTAAGGACAGAGGGTCTAAGGACAGAGGGTCTGAGGACAGAGGGTCTAAGGACAGAGGGTCTAAGGACAGAGCGTCTGAGGACAGAGGGTCTGAGGACAGAGGGTCTAAGGACAGAGGGTCTAAGGACAGAGGGTCTGAGGACAGAGGGTCTAAGGACAGAGGGTCTGAGGACAGAGGGTCTGAGGACAGAGGGTCTAAGGACAGAGGGTCTGAGGACAGAGGGTCTAAGGACAGAGGGTCTAAGGACAGAGGGTCTGAGGACAGAGGGTCTGAGGACAGAGGGTCTAAGGACAGAGGGTCTGAGGACAGAGGGTCTAAGGACAGAGGGTCTAAGGACAGAGGGTCTAAGGACAGAGGGTCTGAGGACAGAGGGTCTGAGGACAGAGGGTCTGAGGACAGAGGGTCTGAGGACAGAGGGTCTGAAGTTGACAGTTAGGGTCTAAGGACAGAGGGTCTAAGGACAGAGGGTCTGAGGACAGAGGGTCTGAGGACAGAGGGTCTAAGGACAGAGGGTCTAAGGACAGAGGGTCTGAGGACAGAGGGTCTAAGGACAGAGGGTCTAAGGACAGAGGGTCTAAGGACAGAGGGTCTGAGGACAGAGGGTCGTATTGTCATACTGATATTCTGTACAAACTGTGAAGTCCACTGAGACAAATGTAACATTTGTGATATTTGGCTATAAATAAACATTGATTGATTGATTTATTAAACTTCTGAATTTAATTAAAAATCAGTGTAAACAACAGTGCAGTACGTCCAGCTAGCTAGTTAGCGTCACATATTTATCCGTATTATTTAACGAAAATGTACGTTTTAATGCCCCTTGGGTTTGACGTGTGTGACGTTAGTTAATGTAAAGTAAGTTAAAACCCAATACTCACATTTATTAGTGATTCCTCCGCTCGCGGCTTTTTTTAAATCCACTCTGCTGGGAGACCGGAAGCTTACCTGCGCGCATTGCACCCTGGGATATGGTAGGCCGCGGAGTGTGCATCAGATGTATCCTTCAGATTGGGGAAAAGTAGGCTGCAGTCAGAGGAGTCTCGTCTTTTTTTTTAATTGGGACAGCCTTCTTTCGGCGGAAGTGACGTAAGCGGCAGTGGCGGATTTAGGATTGTAGGAGATCCGGGGCTTAGCCCAGGAGTTGTTGGGGGGGGGGGGGGGGGTACAGTGCTTTTTTTTAAAATATTGAAGTTGAAAGCATCAATCTGGTGCACTTTGAGAGCAACATTAACCCTACCTTAATAACACCTTAAAGCGGACAAAAGGCACTGGAGAACACTCATTAACACCCTTTAATGAAGCAAACTAATGCCTTAACTCATATCATATCATATCACTCAAATAGTCGTTTACTTATTAAGGTGAAACGAATGTGCGTAGAGTTTTAAAGGGTTCGGATAGTCTCACCTTGATTCTGACGCATTGCTTATCGTTTTATAGATCTATTCTCATCCACCATCTTTGTTTGTGACGTAAAAAATGTGTAAGAGTCACGTTTCTGAATCGGACACTCTGAGTGGATGCAGTCACAGCCAATCGGAGTCTGATTCAGAGGGTTGCCTGTCAGTTCTGTTGTTATGTGTACTGAAACGAGAGCCGGTATAATTCCACTTGCGAAAACAAAATAAAAATTGGAATACTTTATTTTAGTGTCTTAAAAGTAGACTGAGTTATGAAGGGTTAACGTTACATCTTAGGATAACTTTTAGTCATGTTCTGTATACATAACATAAAGGTATACTTAGTGTGGTTACTCCATGTTTACTAGCTATAACATTAGCTAGTAACATCACTCTTCTTCACTTCTTACTCAGTCAGCCAGAGTGCAGATATCACCATTAGATTCACAAACCTGAAACATCATCCATTTCTTCACTGCTGGTGACGACATTGTTGTCAGCTGCTGATACTGCTGCAGCTGCAGCTTGTGGCGCCTGCTTCGATGACAATAACTTTCTAATATCCATAACTGTATAGGCTATTAGCTTAAAACTCGTTAGGCACTAGGAAGGATCACTTCTTCTTCAGGGCAGGCTACGCAGTACGCAGGCTACTGTCCCGCAGCGGATGCCTCTCTGGTGGACTCCGGTACTGCACATTACTCCCGAGACGTTTAAAAAAAAAAAGTGAAACATCCGGGGCTTTTCAGAAAACATCCCAAGTAGCCACCCCCTAGCGCCGCCACTGGTAAGCGGTCTACGAATGCACCCTTCGAAGGATGCAACCCCTGAATTAAGACACGGCCTGGGAGAAGGACCAGACAAGAAACAAGGAGGAAAACATGAAACAGGGAGAACAGCAAAACAAAGAAAAATATATTGTTGTATATATACTCAGTGTACTGTGTAATCAGTGTACTTGTATATGTGCTTAGTGTACTTGTTGTATATGTACTCAGTGTACTGTACATATACAACAGTACACTGAGTACACACTACACTGAATACACAGTACACTGAGTACACAGTACACTGAGTATATATACAACAAGTACACTGAGTACACAGTACACTGAGTACACATACTACAAGGACACTGAGTACACAGTACAATGAGTACACTGAGTATATATAGAAGAGTACTCAGTGGACTCAGTGTCCTTGTAGTATGTGTACTCAGTGTACTGTGTACTCAGTGTACTTACTGAGGGTAAAGTATGTCTCGCTGCAGTAATCCTTTAAGAAGTCTCAGCAGACTGAAAATACTTCACTGAGCTGCAACTCACTGCTAATATACAGTATTATATACAGTATACACAGTGGTATATACAGTATGAATACATGATGTCTAATGTAATATAGAGTATTATACACATTATATACAGTATACACAGTATTATATACAGTATTAGTACATGATGAGTATTCTCTCTTGTCCCCCTGCAGGTTCAGGAGGGAACTGACACTGAGATCCAGAAACTCCAAATATTTATTATATTTGTTGTTGTTATAATTTATATTTATATTTGTCATCAGTATATAAAGTATTATTTGAATACGTAGAGAGGAAGAGGAGGATGGGATTCGCTGAGCTGCTGGAGGAGGTGAGACAGTTTCTCTAACCCAGGGGGTGAGACAGGGGGTGAGACAGTTTATCTAATCCAGGGGGTGAGACAGGAGGTGAGAAAGTTTCTCTAACCCAGGGGGTGAGACAGGAGGTGAGAAAGTTTCTCTAACCCAGGGGGTGAGACAGGAGGTGAGAAAGTTTCTCTAACCCAGGGGGTGAGACAGGAGGTGAGAAAGTTTCTCTAACCCAGGGGGTGAGACAGGAGGTGAGAAAGTTGCTCTAACCCAGGGGGTGAGACAGGAGGTGAGAAAGTTTCTCTAACCCAGGGGGTCAGACAGGAGGTGAGACAGGAGGTGAGACCGTTTCTCTAACCCAGGGGGTCAGACAGGGGGTGAGACAGTTTATCTAACCCAGGGGGTGAGACAGGAGGTGAGAAAGTTTCTCTAACCCAGGGGGTGAGACAGTTTCTCTAACCCAGAAGGTGAGACAGTTTCTCTAACCCAGGAGGTGAGACAAGAGGTAAGAAAGTTTCTCTAACCCAGGGGGGGAGACAGGAGGTGAGACAGTTTCTCTAACCCGGGGGGTGAGACAGGAGGTGAGACAGTTTCTCTAACCCAGGGGGTGAGACAGGAGGTGAGACAGTTTCTCTAACCCAGGGGGTGAGACAGGAGGTGAGACAGTTTATCTAACCCAGGGGGTGAGACAGAAGGTGAGACAGTTTCTCTAACCCAGGGGGTGAGACAGGAGGTGACAAAGTTTCTCTAACCCGGGGGGTGAGACAGGAGGTGAGACAGTTTCTCTAACCCGGGGGGTGAGACAGGAGG